GATATCTTCAAATTTATATTTTATTCAAAAATAAAAACATCATCTTTTTTTCAAAATGACATAAAACCATACTATAACATCGATTGAGATAAATAATAAAATAAAATATTAAAATCAAGATATATCTCGCTGCATTACGCGAGTATCCTTCTAGTTTTTATTAATATTGTTGAATGAATTTTCCAGTTGGGCCTGTACAAAGTTTTCTTTTTTATTTGAGTTGGGCCAGAATGCTTCTATTTGGAATTTTAGTAGGTTGGTCCAAGCCCACTGTTTAAAGGATTTATATTTGAAATTTCATATAAACAAAAGGTTGGGTTTAAACGAGTCGAGCCCTGGATTAAGACTTATTTGGAAGTGTTGGGTTAAATTTAACTCGATCTACATAATACTACTATGARTCTTCCTGATACCGGCTCAAACTTGTCTTGGAAAGGGTTAGAAGTACAGTAAATCGAGTTTAATCTAGAAAAGTTCTATTTCTTTTATTTTATAGTTTAGATCTGATAGTCGTACGAGTCTTTTTGATACCGGATCAAAAGTTCTCTCACAAAAAGTTAAAACCCAATTCGAAAACTTTAAAATTCTAGTGCAACTTTTATGTACAATAGATCAAGCTTAATTTGAGCTTAACAGAAGAAGAAGAAAAAAAGAGAGGTTATTTTGGCTATTTAATTATGTGAACTTTCAGTGTTTTTTAAATCATTTTATAATAATTTATAACCGTGTCTCCATAGAAAAATATTTTTTAATAATAAAAAAGATTATAAAATCATTTCCATAAAGACAAAATATGGAATAAAAAAAAGAAAAATTAAAAAATGTTGCCGTTTGGTTTTATCCTCGAGGTTACTTTGTTCGTGTCAATTAGCAAGTGTCTTGGTCTACATACTCAACCATCTCTTTCTTTTTTTTTCTTTTTGATAAAAGTTGATTACCGACAACCTCATACGAAACCTGCTTTCAAGGCCATCTATATGAGAGGACATTTTTTAGCTCATTCAGCGGTTGAGGTTAACGAGAGGTCTGAGATCAAACCCAGAATTTGTCTTGTATTCGAACAAAGTCATTCCATTTTTTTTTATCAAATGAGTTACACGTTAGAGACTACTTTTTTTTATTTATTATAAAACAGTAAGTAAAAATTATGGAAACTCATGACTGTCGTTACGTTGTTGGCTAATCGTGTTTCCTTAGATACATCGATATTTATCGATGAAAACCATGTCGATTTTTTTTCCATTTTAATTAAATTTATAATAGAGTATATTGACTGGAATTTTAGAATTTTGTTAATTTATTTGATATTCTAATTTCTGTCGCCTTCTTGTTTCTAATTTTTAGCCGGATTGATTTGTTTGTAGTTATATAATTTTGTGAATAGATTATATTAAAATAAATCAATTTTCTAATATTTATGATATTGAGGTTTCAAATACAATTTATTTTACATTTTTGGAATATGAAATAACATAATTTAAAAGAAATCATTATAACGTTTTCAAACAAGACATTAATTACCTTTGTAGCATATTTTAGTAAGAGTAGTCTTAATTTTGAACCAATTTACATGTATTGATTAGTTTTATAGGGGACCTCAAATAGTCTATAGTTGTCATCAATGAACCTTTATAATTAATCACAGGCCTTGAGGATTCAAACCTGTGATAAATGAGATTTTCCACCTACATGAAGAAAATATTTTATCGATCATATATTTAATAATATAAAAAGTGTTTAACAATATATATATATATAAAAAAAAAATTGGAGATGATTAAAAAGTCGAAATGAATACCAGAAAGTAGCAAGTTGGAATTTTTGAAAACAAAATTTAAATTATATTTGGGAATTTCCATTCTTAATTAGTTGACAAAAGAGAATAATAATAATAATATATGATTCTTGTCATGTTTTATGAATTTTGGAATGACATCCGAGACTATAGTTATAATTATAATTATAATGAAATTAATTCAATGGCTAAAAAAATAAAAGATAATAGTTAAAGGAATAATTTTAAGTAACAAAAGTATTGTATTTGAATATTATATAAGGAATAAAATCACAAATTAAATGGAATACTAATTAAATGAAAATCCAATAACATAAAAGGCAGCTGATGATTGGTAAAAAGTCAAATTTTTATCACTAGTTTTACCATAATTAGAATTTTAAGCCAGCCTATATATATTTATAATTAAGAAAAGGTTTATGGAGTTTTTATACAAGCACAGCACCTGTACCTGTACCTGTATGTATATATATATATATATATATAAAAGCCAAACAAAGACACATAATCCATGCAAACCCTCCATAATTCAGAATTCAGAATTCATTCTTCTTGTTGTTGTTGTTGTTATACATCTCTTTAACAAAAAAATAAGTCGGAATTAGAAAAAAAAAGAAAAGGGTAATTAAAGATCGATCATGTCAAATATGACAGGAGATGAAGCCAGCTTTTCTTCAGGAGAAGAAGGTGATGATGCTAATAAGCACCTTGCAACCCATTTCCATGCTTCCACCTCCCTCCCACCTCCTCCTCCTCCTCCACCACCTCCTAAGAAGAAAAGAAACCTACCAGGAACTCCAGGTTTTTCTTTTCTTTTCTTTTCTTTTCAAAATCATTTCATTTCATTTAATCACAGGTTTAATTAATTAAATGAATGCTATTTCAATTCGTCTTTGTATAGATCCTACGGCCGATGTCATTGCTTTATCACCAACAACCTTAATGGCTACAAACAGATTTGTATGTGAGATTTGCAACAAAGGTTTTCAAAGAGACCAAAACCTACAACTGCATCGACGAGGCCATAATCTTCCATGGAAGCTCAGACAAAGAACTAGCACCGAGATCAAGAAGCGCGTCTACGTATGTCCCGAGCCGTCTTGTGTTCATCACAATCCAGCTCGGGCACTCGGCGATCTCACAGGGATCAAGAAACATTATAGTAGGAAACAYGGAGAGAAGAAATGGAAATGCGACAAGTGTTCCAAGAAATATGCGGTTCAGTCTGACTGGAAGGCTCATCAAAAGACGTGTGGCACCCGTGAATATAAGTGCGACTGTGGCACTATCTTCTCTAGGTTTGTTTTCTTGAACCATTCCATACTAGTACCAATTCCTTTTCAGTTCAAACCTTAACTAAAGATCACGAAAGCCAAAAACAATCATTGCCATATATATATATATATATGTGACGAATTCTTTTTTGTTTTTCACAGAAGAGATAGCTTTATAACTCATAGAGCATTTTGTGATGCGTTAACCGAAGAGAACAACAAGGTGAACCAAGGAATGTTACAACATCAACACATGTCTGATCATCTAATGTCATCTAAGTCAATAGACTCTGGGACCAATGACTTGATGGGGTTACCCGATTTCAACAACTATGACCTAAAAAACCCAATCAAACCGCTTCCTCAAGACCTAGTCCCGATGTCATTCAAGCCATTGAATATGTCCGGTGGCATGTTCTCCAGTAGCTCTGGTGCCCTTTCCGGAAACCCAAGAGGTGGATCCTCGTCATCTTCCGGGCTACAACTTAGCTCATCAAATGGACCATTAGGGTATGGGTACTTCCAACAAGATACTAGTAAGGGTGGAGGGCTGCTTTCTGGGCCCGCAGGCCATATGTCTGCTACAGCCTTACTTCAAAAAGCAGCCCAAATGGGAGCCACTGCCAGTAACGGAATCAATTCTCCAATGATGCAAAAGAGCTATGTTACAAGCATGGTCGGCCCAGATCAACTCAATTCACCCGGCCCAAGGCCTACATTGCCTTACGGGCTCCAACGAGTGGGCCCCTATGACAACTTCCACATCCAGCCTAATCAAACAGCTATAGGGGCTGGGGGAAGAATCAATGTCGGTGGTGAAGGATACAATCCTTTRCAAAAGCCAAACCCACAAGATATGTTTGGGTCGGGTCTAGGCCCGAGCCTGAATCCCAATCTAGGTAGYAATGAAATGGGAATCTATGGTGAATTGTTAATGAGAGGAGATCAAAGTCATGGATTTGTAAAAAATATAGAAAATCACGAAGATGGAAGCAATGGCAACTCTGTTTTGATTCAGGGGAGAGGGAATCCGACCATGGGGAGAAGCCCATCAATAGTAGGCGGAGGTGGCGGTGGCGGCAATGACACGTTAACAGTTGATTTCCTAGGGATTGGAGGATCGAGATCGTTAACTATTCAAGAACAACAACAAAGATTAAGTGGTTTTGAAGCAGCAAGTCAGGTGATGAATCCTTTTCAGCAACAACTTATCAATGAGGATTCTTCGGCCATTGAAAAGCCCATTTGGGATGAATGATCAAGAGCCAAAAGCCCATTTGATGAGATGAACTTAGTTGGTACTCCAAGAACATATAATGCATTTTCTGGGCCTTGGCCTAAAGCTATTTGGGCCAAACAAAGCTTGGTGTTTTGTTAATTGAGATTAGTCAGACAAACCTTGTAACAATTGAATNGCGGCTGCCAGAAACAAAACCGTGCGACTACTGCTTTGTGGTATAGCGGGCAGGTTAGTCAAAGCGGACAATATCATTGCTACGGGGTTCTGGGGGCGTTACAGTATTCACGACTGAAATATTGTTTTCTTTGAGGAATTTGGACAGCTTTCTGCAGTCCTTTGTCTGGTGACCAGAAATATTGCAGTAATGGCAAAAATATGCATTCCGATTAGAACGGGTTCCGCCTTGCTGTGAAGAAGACCATTGAGGACGAGTATTGCGCTGCTGATTGTTGGGTGAGTACCTGTTGGTGCGTGGGGCCGTAGTCGAAATAGTAGGAGTGTGAGACGGAAATCGATTTGGCTGTCGATTGGTGTAATTGACGGTGGTCAGCACAGGTTCGGGTGTCACTGAGACAGCTTTCAGGGATCGCTCAAAGTCAAGGAGTTTATCAAATAACTCCGGATATGAGATCGGAGTCTCACGAACTTTGAGTGCAGCAGCAATTGTGGTGTATTCATCATCGAGTTGTGAGAGAATGTGAACAAGCAGATCTTCTTCAGCCACCGGGTTTTGGGCAAGGGCCAAATCGTCTGCAATTGATCTCATATCATGTAGATAGTCTGTGATGGATCGATTACCTTGTGGATTTTTGGCCAACTTAGATTTGAGGGAGATAATACGGGATCGTGAGGCACTCGCGTAACTCGAGTTGAGCCTTTCCCATGCTTCTTGGGCTGTGTCAGCAGAAGATATGATCGGCTGGATGGGTTCGGAGCAACTCCCTAATAGTGCGCTGATTATTATCTGGTCTTGTCTGAACCATAGAAGGTAGTCAGGATTAGGAGTTGTTTTCTCTTTATCGGTTATGACCTTTGATGGTGATTGAAGGGTACCATCAAGATATTTGTAAAGATCAAGTCCAATCAAGGTTGATTGAACTTGCTTCCTCCATACAGTGAAGTTTGAGGCTATAAGTTTAATAGGAAAATGAGTAGGGGCTGTAAGTTGAATAATGGCTGAAGTAGGCTGAGCCATGTGGAGAGGAAGATGATGGAGTTGAGGATCAGAACTCGTTTGAGTGATTTAGCTCTGATACCATATAATGGTGTGCTGTTGGTATATTTTTGTTATTATGAAATGCATACAATGAGGCTATTTGTAGCCATTTACAACAAATGGAAAGGAGAAAATTATGGAACTAAACTAAGCAAGTTACAACAAAAATATATTGACCAAAATAGATTAAATTCAAATTATGAATTTGAATCTTTTGGATGATCCTTAATAAGTTTGGCACAGGTATTTTTTCTAGAATCTCTGTATAACTACAATATCCGGCATAAAATGCCTAGATCTTCATCAACACTTGTATATCATATACCAGTGTAGCACTAGACAAATGAATGGTCATCAGGGTGTTTCTCTTGGATTTCCATTTTTTTGATTAATTTTGTCTGAACCTTGTATTTATTACCAGTTGTTCAATAAAGAAACCCTGATATTTGTTACTGATATATCGTGATCGATCTCTTTCAGGCTAGTAGAATGTACGATATTGATGCACTTCCATATGAGAAGTATGTGTTTACCGTAAGGGATAAAGTGGGCATCAACCAGTTTATAGAAGCGGTGGCCATCGGGAAAGATAAGCAAGACTTAACGATCAGAGCCAAGAAGCCTGTTGAAAAGGAGCTCCCCCCGATTTCCTCCCTTGAAAGACAAGAAATCGTGAATCTTTTGAAATATGGAATCGGATTAAGCAAAGAAAGATTGAATGACTTATTTTGGCAAGCTGTCTGGCCTCGTCTTTTAGCAAGAGGATGGCATTCTGAGGTGCCTAAAACCTATTCGTCTCTCCAAAGCTTAACTAAAACTTTGGTGTTTATTGTACCAGGAATCAAGAAGTTTTCTAGAAGGGGATTGAAGAAAGGAACCCAATATTATGAATCTTATATTGATGTCCTGAATAAGGTTACATCTGAGCCACAGCTTCTTGAGCCTGAACCTAACCAGGTGGACCCAGATGCGAACCATGGTTCGGACCATGATGATGTGATGGAGTTCGTAATTGCGGATTCTAGTAATGTTCATGTAGGGGAGATGATGGTAACTGTGGATGATCTGATGAGAAGTGAGTGGTCTGACATCAAAGAAGACAATATATCTGAAAAATGTCTTAATGAGGATCTGAATGAACAATACAGTTTAAAACCAGAAGGGAAACGTCATCATCTGAAAAGATTCAAGTCGTCAAAGACGGATGAGAAATCAAGTGGTGAACATGAAGCTGTGAAAGACCCATCTCCGGGAAAGAAGCGTCGAAGGCTCGTCAAAGGTTAAGTTTGAACCTCTCACCTCACCAACAAAATGGGTTTTTTAGAACACACGAAAGTGCCCTAATAAAGTACCAATTTAAATTCTGTGTTAAATTAAGCTCTTGGGACGAAATTGGACAACTCTATTAACGAAGTTGGACAACTAACAAGAAAAGAAAATGGTATGGATTAGCCTATTTATATATATATATATATATATATGACACTTTTTAAAAGTGTCATGATAAAGAAAAGCTTAATAAGACGATTAAGCACTCTGTTAAGATGTCCAACTTCACCAAGAAAACTTGTTATTTGTTATGTCGTTTTCGTCCTAACACTTATTGTAATACCTTTAATTATTGCACATGGTGATCTTGGTTAGAGTCCGAGTAAGCACTCTATTAAGACAGTTGGATGTTCTAAAAACCTGAGTGCTTTTTATAGGTTCAAATGGCGATAAAAGATTGCTTTCAACTAAACCATCTGTTTTTTTTTTTCTTTCTTTCTTTCTCCTGAAACAGCAATTACGGAGCTGCAGCCTGAGTTATCGAAGCCCACAAGTGGTGGTGGTAATGCAGATCAACGTAGAGCCAGTACACCCGATCACCAAATGCAAAAAAGAAAAGGTCGATCGAGTAGTGGTGGATCGTTGGAAGTGGTTGCTAGTACTGCAGGTTCCAAGATCCTGGAGAAGAAGAAAAGAGGGACAAAGGAGAAGACCCCAATGCATATTCTTGCAGAAACTGTTCTAGAACTTGCCACAGGTTATGTTACAGATGAAAATGATGACAGTGGGGGATGATTCTCCTTAATGAAACAATTGGTATGTATTGAGAATGGAATCCATGATCAAGAATTGGTATCAAATTAAGGGTACTTGTATGATCTGAATGTACTGTTGAGTTTATTGTTAAACAATTTNTTTATCTAAACACTTAACTCGGTAAGCGCTTGCCGTTAAAATTCAAGATCGTCGCTTACCTACCGGGTAAGATTTTAGTCCACTAAAATGGCATTGTATGTAACAATTTACGTTGTAAGCGCTAGCCATGGTGAGAATCGTCGCCCTCCCTTACCAGATAAGACTCTCGGACCTTGACTTTGTTCTTACCGGGTAAGATTCTCCGGTCTTATAATGCGAAACTTTTTTACGTGTAAGTTTTGTATCATAAACAAATTAAAAAAGTTGACATTGTGAAACAAGTATATAGTTAATGGAGTGTATTAGATGAAAAATATAACAATATCATGGGTTTTAATGAACTTAAAATAGATGAGAAAGTGCAAGCGTTGGGGGTGAAATGCAGACAACTCGATGCAAATTATTAATAATTGATGTCATATGCACAAGAGAAGAAACCCCAAATTCGACTATCAATATACACAACTCTCTAACGCTTCGTTTGTTCATCTGGATCTTGCACGCAAAACACGAATTCGGTGAAGAGAAAGTTATCAGAAAATACTTGCAATSATTCATCCATCCTTTGATTTTCTTAATACCCATTGAATTAAGGAAGTGATGATGCYGATTATACTCAAAAGACAATCCAAGCCACCACCTCTTTTCTCTAAATTCACTCTCTATCCATGGTTTATTAAGACAAGATACATCTCTTCAACTTTTTAAATGTACTACCAAAACTTAAATGAGTCATTTTCAATTGAAAATGTAAAAACTATCACTTGATATATATATATATATATATATAAATATATATATATACAAGATTAATAATTTTCAGCTAGCTTATTGCAGAATTATTGCCTCTTCCCAATTTTTCTCATAAACCACAACTGTTTGTTTTCAGTTTGCTTTTATGGTTTCATGGTTAACTCGAGTAGAAACCCCCAAGTTTCAGCTGAAAGCTGCTAACCTGTATAGAGTTGGAGGTGGCCTGCAATATATGTTTCCTGGCTTCCTCTGCCACTTCCATCGCATCACTACCAACATCAACCACAAACACAACATTRCTACCATGCATAAATTTCAAGACAAGCTCAAAATGGAAGGTTCAATTACCTAATCAAGCCATCAGGTGGCATGGAGACCTCGACTTCCACCAAAACTTTGCCTTGCAACATGCGCTTTCTTACATGCTGCACATCCATTTTCTGCAACATATTTAGCCATCACATTGGGGGAACAAGTATTGATTGAGATGGTATCAAAAAAACCATCTTGGTTTATCTTTACATATTGAGAAGAGTGTGTGCATTAAACTGGCCAAACGTTATAATTACTTGTTTGAAGTTTCTGATTTTTTACTTAACCTTGCATCTTTGTTTAGAACTGGTATGCCACAAATTCATCAGCAACATTACTTCCATACCAGGAGAGAGAKAAAAGAAATTTAAAGGTGAGCTTTTCTATTGTGAATCCTATCCTATATATAAATATTCGAAGAACTTACCAAAGGGTCCCAGGTTATCACTAGAGTCTAAGTGCCAAACCTCCCTAGAGGTCATGGGTCCAATTCTCACCAAAGAWGAGCAGTGTGCACGACTATTTGCCATATATAAATATTATATACTATACATATGGCGAAGAATCATGTGAGAAGGATAAGAAGGGATCTGGACGCTTGATCACCTTTAATCTCAAAACCACCATGAATCGCGCTTGATACGGGATTGATCCGATGCATGTCATCCTAAACTTCTCACCTTAACTCTCCTTCTCACTGGAACCCAACCCATATATATATAYACACACACACACATGGAAACCTGGAATGTATGAATGAATGTACCTCAGAGAACTTTGAAGTCAGCATATTAGCAACCATTTCTTCAATCCCATTATCWTCAACCTGGAATGTATTGTTAGAGGCATAAGGTTCKTCTGCACATACTTTCTGTGCAACCATAGCAGGTTTAAAATGTTTATTGGCAGGTTCTGCAAAGTGAAACATGAAATGAATGAGCTCTCACAAAAATGAAGAATTTAGGCACCGGCAATTCATGGAAGGCAGGTTCTGGTTTGGTTWTAAATCGAAGGAGTCAAGTTTTTCTATAACCAAGTTATGTACCCAAGTGTATGAAGACTTCAGAAACTTCAGGGTGGGAATTTTGAATCTGGTAACGAAGAGTTTCACCAATTTCATGTGCAGTGCTGACACTACAGAAGGGATCAACCTGCAASAAAAATGCAACACCATGTTAGAAAACCAATCCAAAACAAACGGACCCGTATATCCCAGACAAAATTGGGGTCTGGACCCTGGAGGATGGGGTGGGGATGTGGGATGTAATGTACACAAACTTGTCCTCTACCYAGAGGTGGAAACAGGGTCGGGGATACCGCAGATAYCAATCCCCATCCCCATCAGGATACGGAGATAATCAAAGATTTTCCCTCGTCTATAGAATTTAAATTTTATAATATCTATATTATATTTATGTGTATGTGTGTGTGTGTGTGTGTCTGTGCCAATTTCATGTTTAGACGATATACCGTACTAGTACTTTAATCAACCAAATTTTAATTGTTGCACTTGGATAAGAGTAACATCAAACAAACCTAATTCAAACACAAAAGTATCAATTACATACATAATAATTGAAATTTCATACATCAAGTCATCAACGTCGTTATATCACAAAAGGTTTCTCCATGAATAATTGAACCAATATTGTAATCCCTTTYAAAAGTTACATGTCTTCGCAGATTGATCATAATTTTATATTATATATACTCCTTGGATTCATTTTCTTAATTATACTTATTATTATATATTATATAGGGGGCCTTCTTTTGAGAACTCATAAAATTGTGATAACCTTGAGAACTAATGCCTCATGTGCTATTTCATTTTTTTTTTCAACTAAGACTAATATTTAGAATATTGATTAATATATAAATATATATATATATATATATATATATTAGTTTCACAATGTGTTTGTTTCATAGGTATTTGTTTCACATTGTGAACCGACAAAATATGTTCACCAAACATTATACTTGCCTTATATGGGAAAAAATATGTGAAACTATACCTTAAGGTAAAAGTTCTCACAGTTATCACAACATATRGAGTTCTCATTTGATTACGTCYCATATTATACAATCAAAAAATATATAAAATTTTATTATTAATTAGTTAGGATCGGAKACCCGAGGGGTATCCCCATTCCCATTAAATTAGGAGATTCCTAGTACCCATCCCCGGTCAACTCGAGGAATCCCCAGTCAAACTGGGTCCGGTATCGGGTACGATTTTTTTGCCATCCCTACCTCTACCCCCAAAGAGCATAGTCGTCGTTTACGTGAAGACCCTCAACTTGTGCAACAGTGTAAGCAAAAAAGATCTAAGGAACAGAGATCAGAGCATAGTAAGCACAGYACGATTAAAAAGAGTAAGATAACAGTTAATGAGTCACCTCAATCTTAACATCAAGGTATAAAGATGAACCAGCCCTCCTTCCCCTAAGGTGTCTGCAACCCTGTAAATTTTGAATCAGCAATATGAGCAACATACCACAAACTRTTCTAATGATGTGCAAGGACTACAAAATAATTTGAATATTGGTCGATACCTAGCCATCGGATASCACCCACCTGCCCCTGAGACATGTGACTTACCTCCCCATGGTGGTCATGGGACCAGCACGGTGGGGGCGCTTTATGGGGTGGCATCAATACMCATTGCAGAATGTTTTTCTGTTTCATTTTTGATTTAAAGGGGTTGGACRGGGAATGGAGAGAGGATAGTCAGGCAAGCAGTATACAGATCATGATGAAATTAAYGAATCTACTTGCCTCGACTCCTTTGGTTTGTAGCACCGTCTTTCTGATTGGGTCCAAATGATGTGACGGTATTGCTGCATCCACCAGTTCCAAAACACTGGACAAAACATAAGATTGTTGAAGAGAAATGCACTTTACCACTTAATCATTCTGCATCAAACCATTCAACAACTRCCAAACACCCCAAAAGCTTTCATCTTAAGACAAGAAATGGTATATCAATATTGAACCTAAAGTGTTGGTGCCTGAATATAAGGTTCTAGGTTTCTTATGTGCAGAGCACACTATACATCCAAGAATGGGATCGACTAGAATGAAAAGAGAATCAAGTTACAAAGTGCTACTTTCAGTCTTCAAAAGTGGGCAAAATAAATGTAAAAGATGAATGTTTTGTAGGCTTCAGTTGATTATTACATCAAGCATTAGAGAAAACCCACTGGAGTCATCATGTTCACTTCCAGAAAGAAAGTAATAAAGGGTAAAGGCATGTTTTTCTTAGCAGCTTATGAGCTTAACAGACTCACAGCTTATTCAGTCAGCTATACATGWCTGTTTGGTTGTGGCTTAATGATATAGAAATTGGCTTATTCAGTAAGCTTCTAGGGGAAAGCTTTAAGCAACAAGCCAAGTTTTTTCGAAACCTATCCGTCCCAATTAAAAGCGTGTTTCTTCTATCTTTGAAAAAGCGCTCCGAAACAAAAACCTTTCCAATCTATAAAGATAGATTAATCACACAGACAGCTTTATTCATACAGAACTTAATCGAAAACCAACCAAACAGCCCCTAAATTACCTTTGGTAACCAGTTTGCACTCCAGCCTTTAGGATCATGCCTGAGACAACAAGTCCAGCCAGGGGATCTAGAAACCTCACCCCAAGAATAGATCCACCTGATATCAAGATCCATTAGGATTTATCATATGCCAACCAAAACACACAAACATGCCCATATGCAGAACTCCAGGGTTAAGCAAAATAAATGTGTTATTAAATTTGGCATGAGTTCTGATTCTTTGATATTTTCCATGTTCGCCTAAAGAYGTTCATATTTAATAATATATTAGACAATACCCGTGAAGGATGTCATAAATTGCATGCCACACTCATGGTGAATCATGGAAAATGCTGTAGCGTTACTCTGCTTCTCCATTACAGGGCTAGTGATTTATGGATGAAGTGGTTGATGGATACCATTCATTGATAAAGTAACATATTTGTTGCACAACTTAACCAAGAACAACTCAGTTTCTAGGATCAATGATACTTACCAACCCCTATAAGGGCAACTAGTGACGAGATAGCGTCTGCACGATGATGCCATGCATTTGCTTTCATCAATCCACTACCAGCCTTTTCTCCTGCCCTCTTTGTTATCCAATATAACCTACATGCATAAAACCACAGTACATATAAAAATTGTCAAAACAAAAGGTCAAGGTGGGTGAACATAAATATAAAACCACAGTCCAAATTAAACTAGACGTCTATARAAGTTTCCAAAAAGCCAACTCTTAAACGTTTCCATTTCAGGAGTGCGTTTAAATAGTTTAGTGCTTGATTCTCCATCGAAAGAAGAGAAAATGACGAAAGAGTGATGAAATCTAAGGCTCTGTTTTGCTCTTTCTCACATTAACGTAAACCACTCGGTTATCAAAAGATATATGCTGACATAAGGAAAATTACGCATATGAAACCATGGTTGGGCTCCAGTGAGAATAAAAGTTATGGTGAGAAYGGTAAGAAGGGATCCCTACCCTTGGATCAATCATAATTGAAGAGAACCAGTACATCAAGACTAATGAGATATACTAGATCAATTCCCTTCTAAAGCGCAACTCAWGGGTTGTTTTGGGATTAAAAGTGATCAAGGGTCCAAATCCCTTCTTACACTTCTCACCTTAACTCCTATTCTCACACGATTTTTCGTCTATGAAACCAATGGTTTAGTTAACCAGTCTTTGGGTTAATGAGAAAAGAAAGAAAAGCTCAAGGGACTTGATCTATTAGGTACCCTTCTTTAACAGCAATTGCGACTATAGTCATATTCAAAGCTAGGACAGGGTGACTCATGTCAATCCCATGATAATGCCCGCCGCCAACATGGCTGTGGCTGTGAACATTTTGATGTGGCAATGACTGATTAGCTGCCTCAGAAGCTGCTGACAGTACCCCCTACAGGAACGATTAGAGCTAGTATTAGTTGCAGAACAAAATGTCATAACTCCCTTCCTTTTGCCGAATAAGTTCAACCAAGTCTATTAAAGATGTATGCCATCAATCATCATAGAAAAGAAAAAGGATTATACCACCAAAACATCCAAAGCATGCCATGCAATACCTCCAGCTGTGACCARAAGTACACCAGAAATGCCAAGTGCGCCTAATGTCTCGAACTTCCCATGCCCTGAAGTTAGTTTGCAATTTATAAAGATAAATCTCACCATGCAGGCATTGAGGTACATTAATCAGTTGTTTATGTTTATTCAAATCCCACAACCAGCATGAAAAATAATGCCATCTATGGATCTCACCAAATCAATTAGCAACCAAAAGGGSATGTGCATCACAATGAAGGAAACTGAGGGAAATCAGCAAACATAATCTCAGATCTCAAATTCCAAACCTTGTTTTTGTATTTATTGTATAACTGATTCAGAAATATAATTTCTTTCCCATTTTGGGTCATAACTCGTAAACAACAATTCATTGCACTAGAGATATTTAGATCATGTAAATGGTAAACTCTACTTCAACTTAGTATCTTGTTTAACAAGACTATTCCAAGGKCCCCTATAGAATTTAAAAGCATACCAAATTCACATGCTAATTTTGAAGGGACAGAAACAAGTGAATTTCCAACTACAGTTTGCAAAGACATAATATTCAATTTATCGCCTAAATGACATAGAAYGAAGAATCCGATCAATTTCTTCCTAATCTAAGAATCATTGTGCAATATCGTTTATTATCAGTTCTTGTTAAAAACACAATCAGGCAACATAAGGAGAAGCAGATAAATAATCACATCAAAGGAGAATAGAGGCGGTACAAATCAAAAGCGACCATATGGGTGTTCTTTGTCTTTAGGAACTCTTGAAGCTCTAAATGATAGCAAAGCGACTCCACTAAGGACCTGTACCAACATAGGAAGCATTGTGCATCATCACATAGTGGTTTAGYCTCTGCATATCTTGGAATCACTCTCAAAATAACAACCGAATGTCGCATAACATAACATGTATATAGTTCTAAAAAATAGCACGAAATTCCATCCGACCGAATACCATTCAATCGGCTATATTATAAATATATACACATTAGCTTCTTCATTTGTTTAACGGTGTTAAAAGCTCAAATCTGCTAGACATTCGAACCAACACTATTTTATCTCTCATAATTGTAACACAAATTTTGACACACTATAGGGTATTGATAAAAGTTGTTCAAGTAGGACTAAAAACACTATTTCTCTTACCATGATTACCTTCTCTATCAGTACTGGAAAACTTGATGAGCATACAAATTAAAATGTACATGCAAAGACTAAGGAAGTTCTAAACTTAGAATTTTAGAAAGTACTCACTCTATTGGTTTTAAACTTCCAGAAAATAATTGCTATATATATTAAGGTTTATTATAACAGTTACTACAATAGAAACATGTTTTGGTGTATCGTCTGCACTCTGCAACAAAATTCAATTGATCAAAAGTGCATTTCTATTTGGGAGCAGAATAAGCAAAAATGATTATAGATCCATATAATTACCACATCGGAGAGAGAATGAGCAGCATCGGCGATGATGGCGGTGCTACCAGATAAATAACCGGTCAATGCCTTGCCGGCAGTTAACCCGATATCAGCGGCCAGGCCAAGCCTGAAAATTCKTTCGCCCTCTTGACTAGTTTGATCGTGGTGGTGGTGAGAATGACCGCCGTGCCACCTCTTAGGAATATWGAAACTAGGGTTTTCAGGGTAGGCGAAGGATGAACGATCGTACAAGCAAGGAATCAAAGGGTAGAACAATTTCTTGTGGGCGGGTGATGATGGGATAGATCTTGTGGATAATTTGTAAAATCTTACGAGATTTCCATTGAAGTATCTGAATCCCATGTTCTTGAAACAATCAATCAGTCAGATAATTTTCAAGCAGGAAGACGATATGAAATCATTCCCCAACATTCATCGTTGCAAATTGATGCCTGATGTCTCGTTTGAAACCGTTCTTTTTGTTTTCGACTTTTTTTGGCATTAAAAAAAAAAAAAAAAGAGTAAACTACAATTTTGGTGTGGTCTACACAAATCTTCAAAAGTGAGGCCCTGTCGTTCGATAACTATAATTATCGTCCCAATTCTATACATTTTGCTTTGAAAATCGTCTCTACTTTATACATTTTATTTTGAAAATCATCCAGACTCTAGTCTATATATTTTACAGGGACAGTTTATGCAATTAAATATCAATAAAAATTAGAGTAAATTACAATTTGATCCCTATAGTTTAAGCAAAATTGTATAACTTGTCTTTTTTTAATAAATAATAAAAAACGGAGTAAATTACGTTCCCATGTTGATATGAACTCGTATCATCGGTTCACCACTTTCCAAACTTTTAATGAGATTTTATTATGTTTTAATTTATGTTGAAAACAAGTAAAGAGTCATGGGTAGGTAATCATGGCTTAGAAAGAAGTAGTACTAGTGGGTTAGTTTGAAAGTTTGCTTTTCTATAAGTAGTTTACTTCGTTTTGATATGAATTTGAGCAGAAAATTGTTCCAAACTTGTTCTTTCAAGATTCATTTTTTCTTAGAGATTGACTATCATGAATCGGTCTCTATCACATGTTTGTTAAAATTTACGACCTTCATCCTAGTAATTTTGGRATTTCTTTACCTTTAAATACAAGTGACGAAAAACAAGAATGAACCGTAAATCACAAAATTACAAAAGAGAAGAAAMAATWAAAAATTATAATAACAAAAACAACAAACAAAGTATATGGAGGAATATGATCAATTTTCAACAATCCACAATTATAATATATATTTCCATAAAGTGGGTATCCTCCCATCCCACATCGCCACCGGAGAAGTTTTGCAAGATATTAATAATCACATGGTCAAACCAAATAACCGCCGGACTTAGTTACGCGAGTCTGTGACCCAAGTGGGGGCATTAAGGTGGGTTGGAAGGGGATGGGGGGTTTGGTCATGATTCCTGGATGGTTGGGGTGATAAGGTTTTGAGAAAGTTGGAATCGGGTTCGCCAGGCATACATGGTATGTATGGTTCCCAGGCATACACGTGACTGGAGKAGGGTGTCGGTGGAGGATCCACGGTTATAATTGGGACCGTGTGCTGGTGGAGGATCCCACCGGAATAATCTGATCTGTTTCCACCTGAAACCCTCWTATAAAGGGGGCAAAGGGTGGCGTATGAGCTGACTTACTCAGAGCAGCAACCGGCACAAACATTGACTGAACTGTGTTACTCTTTCTCATCACCTTCCATCAAACCCATCCATGGTTGTGTCCTCTCTCTCTAACCCCCCCCAACGGCCATTCTTTTTTAGTATTTTCCCATCCATGGTTGTGTCCTCTCTCTCTAACCCCCCCCAACGCCCATTCTTTTTTAGTATTTTCCCATCCCGTCTGCAAGGTGTAAATTTCACCTTTGTCTGTCGACTTAAAGTCTGCTAATTCTCTTCTCTGTTTTAAACGTAGAAGCTTGTTGGTCAATGTGTTAYAAAAATGGCAGGTTTCCATCTAGACAAAGGATTACGACTGTGATATCTGCTAATTGTCTCTCTTGGTTTATATGTGGGAGTTTGTTRGTCAAATTTCGTCTGTAAAGTGTTGGATGAAATGTCCAAAAGATGGTGATCAACWTAAGGTGTCAAGGCTCAAGGGCTGTGAGATTGAAAGGATTACTCTCTTGATTACTCTCTTTGTTTAAGCTGAGAAAGTTTCTCAAATTTGTTGCAAATAAAATCTGTGCCATTTCAAGTTAAGAAGATGTCAAAACGTCTTTTTATCTCTATAAAAATGTAAATGTTTGAACATCTGRTGTGGGCGTGAAATTTCCTATCATCCTTAGCATTGAAACAAAGCAGAYGAAGTTGTGCCAAAAGATTACGACACCTATTTGTTGGGTTTACGTTCACCCGAATGTTAAACAGAAGCAAATGTGATGGCTTTCATTTCATATTAAAATCTACAAAAGTATTAGTTCGCATCCATCCTCRTCTATTTTTACATGTATGAAAGACTGCTACATAACAAAATKATGAAATACACGTAGCAWTGCTCGCTGGTATTTGTATACYCTRCACGGGTTATGCTAGACAAGGAAAGACTGCTACATAACAAAATGATGAAATACACGTCCAGTTTCGATTAACGACCTATCGGGCTGCAGCTCCTACCGAATCTGCAAGCTCCTCTAGTAATTCCCTTTGTTCCATAGACGCACAAGACTGCATACGGGAAGAAAAAAAAAGAATACACAATAAGCACAAGTTCGCATTTAATTGTTTTAGCGGTAATATGTGAAGAATCTATAAGGGTGCATACGGTACACGGGGCAATATAGTACAAAAACTTGTTGTCCCACATCTCGTGCAATATTAGATTGGGACTAGGCCCGAGTAGGACAAAACAAAAGCATTTTTACTGTCCCAACCAAGATGGGTGGAACAAAAATCATAGAAACGGGACAAGATTGATATTAAAACCCTAAAAGGCTAAAACCTTCCATACCCGCCTGCCTACCTCACTCTTTGCTTTTTCTATCCAGTCCATTCAAGTCSTATCCACATACCAAATGCACCCTAAGGTATTTGGTTCAGGTCTGGGCACCATTCACCTATCACTAAAACACCGCAACTTAAGTTCYGAAAACAAAGCAATAGTTCTATTCTCACGGGTTCCATTGGGAAGTATATACGCTCATTAGCATGTTCCTTCATTTTGTTTTCACTAATAACATTTCCATTTAAGCGAGTGTTCAATCAACCTGTTGTACTTATTTTGGAAGTATATGGAATGGGATTTTCAATAAGAATAAGATCAAGAAAAATTATAAAAGGAAATAAAGATATATCTGGAGTTTGCAGCTCTATTCATTAGAGTATGGGACAGGTCTGCGTATATCTCACCCCCGCAAMCCACATGTATTGTGCTTGTTTGGTTGGTTTCTTTTGGTTTTAACTTTTAAGTTGATGCAAACCACAAGGGTTGTGGCCTAGTGGTTGAGGCGCAGGGGATGTGGTGGAATATCCATCTGTCCTGGGTYMWATTCCAAGCGTCCACAACAATTGTGGCACTGAGTTTCTCAGGGCTGATGTCTTACAATCACAATTTGCAGGGATTAGTCTGGGMATAGCCTGGGACAATTTCTAAAAAAAAAAAAACATAAGGAATGGTACCTGAATGGCTGTCTCAATATCACCATCAAGAAATGAAGTGAGCTCGAAGTTCATCTTCAATCTGTGATCAGTAACCCTATTGTCCTAAGGAAGAAAGGTTGTAAAAAAGTAGTAAAGCGTTTGTTATTCAGATAAAAAAATTAACAAAATTGCAGGTCCTAACAGAAACCATCTTCTACCTCAGTTATTTTGTAAGATTTTGATTCTAAGTAATGGAGGTACCTTGAAATTGTATGTACGGATCTTTTCTGCACGAGCACCGCTACCAACCTTCCATTAAAGATGCAATTTTAAGGTTAGTTGCATTTCAATGTTTTATRATGTAAACTTAAAGTGTAGGGAATGGATGAAACCTGAGATTTTCTTTCATTTCTTTGGGACTCTTGTTGTTCCTTTAGTTTGATTTCATATCTAGGATGAGATGATGGATTATAAGACATAGCTTTATCMCTACATGACTTAATTGAAAACCAACCAAACAGCCCATAAGCCAACCCAAACCATCCCAAGGGTGGGGTCCTAGTGGATGAGAAGTACGCAAAACTGACATCTACAAACCAAACCAAACAAACCAATCAAGGAGTAGGGCAGTTGTTTCCTTGAAGACCCTCAGCTTCTTAAAAGTGAGAGAATAAAATTGTAAATGTATGAGGAATGCTGCAAAAAATGAAAAAAGTTTGAAAAGAGAAAGTCGAGGCCAGAAAGGAAGATACACCAAAATTTGAAAGAATGAGCATGGCTGTTAAAAGCAAACAACACCACAAAAACAAGCTATAAGTACACGGAAACATAGCAAAGGAGTCAAAGACCTTCCAGCCTAGTGGTAAAGGCTTGGGCATGGCATAGTCATGAACCCGAGTTCGAGCCCTGGGAGGGGAGTGTTGGCGACATTTAAGTGGGGCCATGTTTAGCCTCCAAATTTGCCGGGGATTAGTCGGGCTTTGGCCCGGACACCCTTACAAAAAAAAACATAGCAAAGGAAACTACAGAACGCCACAAAAACAAGATTAAGTAAAGAGGTAAGTCAAACCTAACAAAAGATGTGGTTATGTGTGAGTATTTTCCGTATATAAAATATATACTTAGAGAAAAAAACAGATTAATAGTATTAACATCACTTTAACAAAGCAAGGTGATCTCATAGTGTTCCTTACAATTTTGCTCGCAATAGCTGCATTGCACGATTTTTATTTTTTAGTTGACTCCTTTCTTCCGTGCAAAAGATTCGGATTCCTGTTGGTTTGTGGAAAAGATCGACTGCTGTTTCAACCTTATTAACGTTCTGACCTGCATAGTAAAATTTACAAATAGAACACATGACCAAATGATTTCAGCGACATAGTTTCTCTTAGAAGGCATGAGCTTGTAGAGTGCAGACAAAAGAAATATCTGTTGATGAATACCTCCAGCACCACCAGACCTTGCAGTTGTAAGTTCAATTTCTTTTGGATCAATTACCACATCGACCTCTTCGGCCTGAAACCAGTACCGTATCAAGTATGGTATGGAAAACAGAAACAATAAAAAAATTACTTGGTTATGTTATATCATCAGAAACTATCGCATGTTCAAGAACTAAATCCTATCTTGTTATCTTCCAATCTTCTTAAACTTAACTAGCAAACTATTTTCAGAGCAAATTCTGTAGCGGCAAAGTGGTACTTCACGCATAATGTGGTCGCAATATTAGTACTTCACTCCTATTTTATTACCAAAATTGAAAATTGTAACCAAACCCATTAAAAAAGATCAAGCTACCAAACCAAGGTCCATTAGCAAGATGTAACTAAGGGCCWGTTTGTTAGCAACTTGATGAGACTCACARCTTATTCGGTCAGCTATACATGATTCTTTAGTAGTGGCTTGATGATATAGAAAGTGGCTTATCCAGTAAGCCTCTAGGGGGAAGCTTTATTCAGAAAGCCAAGTTTTTTTYCCCAAACCAACCCCTCCAATTAATAAACAARCTCCTTCCATCTATGAAAATCCCTCCCAAACAAAGACCATCCCRATCTATACAGACAAATTGATTCACACAGACAGCTTTATTCATACARGAATTAATGGAAAACCAATCTCAAACAGCCCCTAACTAMCTACCTCTGGCATGATGGCCACAGTGGCAGTTGATGTGTGAATCCGTCCTTGGGCTTCTGTCTGAGGAACACGTTGAACCCTATGGACACCCGATTCATACTTCAGTTTGCTATATACCCGTGCACCTTTAACTTCCATCACATATGTCTTGTATCCTCCTCTTTCAGCCTTAGAAAGAGAATACGTTAAAACAGTTTCATCTGAAAGTTACAGACGTAAAAAAAATCTAATATGCATACCTCAGAGCACGAAAGCGGTGTGTATCTCAATGAGTTTCGTTCACTGTACCTCTGGTACATACGAACCTACAGAATTTCATAAGTTAGCATAATCAAAATGTTAAAAGAATACCAGAAAAAGACATCAGGAAGGAGACAGTCTGATAGTAACTAATAATGATTATAAATATGATTCTGAAATTATCGAGAGCCTATTGTTAGGAGCTGAAGATCCAACAAACAAAAGGTAGAATAAATTTCTCAGAGCTTTTTTGCTTTCTGCTTTCTGCTTTCTGCTTTCTGCAGTAATGATATCAGACTAGGATTTCGTATCAGGAACGAGCTTATATATAAATCATAGACCTGACCCGTGTTTCTGTGCACAGACCACTGAATTAAAAAGAAAAAGAGAACCATGTACCTACAAGGTCAGCAGCCCACAGTCCAGCCTCTTCACCGCCTGTACCAGCCCTAACTGCAATATAACAATTAGATCTATTATATGTAAATAAAAAAGATCTTACTGAGGGCATGTTTGTTAGCAGCTTAATGAGTTTAATGGGACTCGCAACTTATTCAGTCAGCTATATGTCACTGTTTGGTAGTGRCTTAATGATATAAAAAGTGGCTTATTCGGTGAACTTAAYTGAAAACCAACCAAACCGCCCCTGAGATAGTTACCAAATCAAGTTTAATATCCATTCAAGTTTGAATAGACAGAAACTCAGGAGCCAATATAGTGACATATCATCAGCTCGCAGCAGAAAACATACCTTCAAGCAATATGTTCCTAGCATCCAGAGGATCACTTGGAATCAACAACATCTATCAGTAAATGACATGGYATCAATACTACAAGAATTAATCAAACAGTGAAGCAGATACGGATCAATAATAAAATAAATTTCAGAAAATGAACCTTAAGCTTCTCCTCAAACACTTTAAGTTGATTGGATAAAGATTCAATTTCAGAAGCTATCATCTCAGCCATCTCTTCATCGCTGTCGACCTCTTTTGACAAAACTGACACAAAAAGAAAAGCAAGAACTTAGGTAATCACTCAGCACAGAAGATTCAACTCAYAAAAACCACAAACTGAACAAAACCTTTGGACTCTTCAAGTTGTTTCTCGCAGTCCTTAAATCCTCTGTATGTTGCTACAACCTACTAGTTCAAAACATGCAAATTCAAATGTTCGGTATTGAAAAAATAGCGGTATTTAGGGTGCATGATGTGCTTTGCATTTTGCAAGAAGCTCATGAAGTTCAGAGGAAGAAGATACCTCATCAAGGTCAGACATAGATTGCGCCAGCTTTTGGTACTCACTAGGATTCGAAACCACGTCCGGATCTGCTAGCTTAACCTATGTCAAGATCGTCAAAYTACATACGTATCTAACGAGCATGAAAATTGAAGCAAATAGAACACTGCACCTACAACTTATGTCTTCATGTGCTATTTTGAGGAGACTAGTATGTATTGTAAAGGAAAGTAATTAATCCATAGACGAAGGATCGCGTGAGGATAGGAGTTAAGGTGAGAAGTGTGAAAAGGGATTTGGATCCTTGATCACTTTTAATCTCAAACCAACTCATGAATTGCGGTTTATAAGGGAATTGATTCGGTGTATCGCATTAGTGTTGATCTAGTATTTCTCTTCAATTTCAATTAGGATTAGGATTGATGCAAGGGTGGAGATCCCTTCTTAACCTTCTCACCGTAACTTTCATTATCACTAGAACCCAACCTTCCAACTTAATACTTAATAATTACACAGGACTTGATTGCCTTCAGAGCGAGYAGCTAGTCTATTTCTGCTCATCAAGGCCATTGATATAATCGGGACCTCCTGCCAGTAGTCTGTACAACCTTAATGTGGACGGAACTGCCATTAATAGCATGAACCTATTTTTAGAACTACGAACGGACTTCAATTTGACAGACATTCAATACATTTCTGATTAACTTTTCCCATGGTAGCTCTCACATATAAGGTGTATTCATATGAATTCCCTAAATTGGAGCTTCTTTTGCTGGTGAGTTTTCTGTATTTCCTTTAATTTCTCTGCACTGTTTCACCACGCAAGTAGTTCGGCTCTAATCCCCAACAGATCTACTGTAAGAAATTATGAAAACCTTATACAAAACACTCACAAAGGAACTTACCGATAGTTCTTTCCAAGTTTTCTCAGCGGATTCGAGTTTCTTTAGAAGATAAGGCTCCTAAAATCACCACAGAAAACATCATCATCAATAACATACCCTAATAAAACCTATCTTCTGCTCCTGGAACACATATTAAGTGAAATTCGAACTTACCGCCATGCAAACGATTCCCGTGGGAGGTTTCTGATTTCGGAAAGGCCGAACAAATAAGAACTTCGTCGGTAGCTCGATACGTGAAGAAAATTGTGATGATATTGAAGAGATGCTTCGAGGAATCGTCGTTTGGATATTCATGGCTAACAGGAACACCATTACTGGACACAGAGAGCTCTATTGCGACTTGTGAGCCAYCAAAGGATTTTGAACGGATAAAGTGAGCTCTTGGTCGGATCCAAACGGGTTGATTCTGGGTCCGAACCCGGATTCAGTTATGGCCATGGGCCGTCGCATGTGCATTCAGAATTTCAGTTGGGCCTGTTCATATTGTACTTTCTTTATCATATTCATATCATACCAAAGTTTTAATATATTATTTTATGATAACAAAATTTAGAAATAATTTTTTGTGTGTATATATAATTCATTCCCACTATTATTTGTAACCATTGTTAATAGAAAAATATAAGTTTCTATAACTAAAAAAAGTGTTACTAAAAGATATAAATATACTTCTTTTGACTAAAAATAAGCATTATATTGTATGATAAATATGTCCATTGTCTAAAAAAAATATAACTGTAAAGATAGATATATCACAAATAAATTAGAGTMAAGATGCGTGTTTATTGTCCATGTTTTTGTYTTTGTTTGTTTCATCTTCATAAATAAGTCTTTACTTTCCAATTCTACCCTACATCATGAAATGAAAAAATTGTCATTTGATTAACTGAAAACTGTAATAATTACAAATTTCTTAAACTATATACATTTTTAACCGTGGACACTTATTCTGAAATAAAAAAGAATTATATATATATATATATATATATATATTGCCAATCAATAGAACAATTTAACGTTTATTACTTACGTTCCACCATATGTATTTTCAAGTCTCTCCTAGTATCTTAAATATATGTTTTAAGAATTAATAAAATTTATGATGGTATTACTTGTGTTTAAAATAAGAGTATCTCCAACATGTACTCTTCTTACAAATTYGGAGATTTCTCATTTCTTTATTCTATTTTTCTCTATTTTAGAGAAGTGTTTAGCATAGCTGTTAGAACAAACTTTTCTCAAATCTTCAAAAATTCTAAAAAATAACATAGTTGTTGGARATATTTTAATTTATTTWTAAGTATTACCAACTATTCGATATGTGTACCTTAATTAAGAGTAGATATAGAAACCTAGTTATCTATTTTTGAAAGTAAACAGATACAACATCTAGCTAGCTATTTCTCTAATACGGAAGTCAATAGATGTGCTTATTCCCATGATTCCCCGTTGTACCTGTTCTCTACAACCGTTGATTCAGATCTATCTCGGGTGCAGTCAATGCACTCCAATCGTCTTTCTATAAAACAAAAATAAAWAAAAWTATGGACATTTATTCATCGTATAAACATRGAAAATCTAAAAGGACTAAGTTTGACCAAAAAAAATTACTTTTTACACATATAAGTGCTCTTTAAAGTTAAACCAAATTATAAATCTAATATATTCCTATTGCAAGATAAATATTTAATTAATTGTTTTTATTTGATTCTAAATTAATTCGAGTGTTACAACATTTACTCGTATTTTAGTATCTATTACAATATAAAAATATTTAATGAAAAATGACGTGGAAAATCGAAATTTGAGGGAGAAAGTTGTAATTTCAATAAAGGAGGAAGAAGAATACAAAAGAAGCAGGTGAAGGACACGAATTCAACGTACGGCGTCGTAGCGTCTTGGTCCCCCTCCTCTGCCAAAAAGGTCTCACCGGCACCAATATTAAAGAGTGTGTGGGTCCCAAATTTCCCCAATTGCCAATCGTGTCCCATTCTTATTGGCTGCTCCCCCCTGGGTGCCTCCGTACAGCATCTCCCCCCACTGACAGTATATGGAAATTGTCAAATTAACCCCTCATCTTTTT